GAAAATAGTAATAAAAAACACAAAGAAACGAAGAGTATAAAACGATGAAGAAGAGATCAAGAATACGATCTAAGATGCAATACTAATCACGACTAACTCCTGACTACTTTTAACTGCTCCTCCTCCGAATGAATAGTAGAAAAAAACGGTACGCTCGAATATATATTATATCGAAAAGAAAATCATAGAGGGTATGAATCAAACAGAGAAAAGAAGGAGATCTAGAATAAGATAAAAAATAACCAGAGATAAGGACTGGTCAATGATAACAAATATAGATAAGGAGAGAAAGAAGTAGACTATGGACTGTAAACTATATTACGACCTCAAAATAAAAATAAAAAACAAAACATGCTTTGGACTAGTGCGCTAAGTATATGCTGTATACTTAACAAAGATTAATCGATCTGAATCTGTTGATGACTACAACTCAGCAAACAAACAACGAGTCATCGATATATACATATATCAATAACTACAAACAAATCGAATAAAGAAAAACGAAAAAGAGATATCAGCATGTAAACCTGAGGGTGATACAGATGGTGGTCGTTTGACAGTTTTAGAAGTTTATTCACAATCTAGAGGAGTTCTAAGAAAGCGAAGAAAATCCTATGGAATCCTAGAGAATCCTAAGAAATTCTAAAGAATTCTAGAGAATCCTAAGGAATCCTAGAGAATCATAGGGAATCCTTGGAATCCAGAGGAATTCAGGATTCCGTGCTTTCCCCCTTGAGTAAAAAGGTTTTCTTTTTTCAGTCTCTCCTCCAGGATCCCGCACGGCATCCTGGAGCCTCGTCAAGCTTTCGCCTTAAACCCGATTGTGGACCTCTGGCATCGTCAGCTCCCTCATCTCAGTTTTACAGTAGCCGGGACAAAGTAAAACCGACTGTCTTTGGATCTTGACCCTGTTCGACGGCTTCGAATAACCTGTGCGAGAACGAAGGAAATGAGAAGGACATCTTCTATCCCGCTCAGAATCCTGGAGCCTCGTCAAGCTTTCGCCTTAAACCTTCCGGTTGACCAACTTCTTTAAGTAGATTTCATCCACTGATGATCTTCTACAGTGTATCAAAAGCGGCAATCAATATGCTGACACGAATTGAAGCACGTGATTGGAATTATCCTCGATAGAATGCCATTATCACTGTTTGTCCCGGCTACTGTAAAACTGAGATGACTCAGGGGGCTGACGATACCAGAGATCTACAATCGGGCGCTGATTCAATTTTACATCAAGTCTATGATGAAAAAACTCCGCGTCATAGGGTCTCCAATGCACCAATAGAAGCAACCAATAGAAAAAATTCAGATTCTAACAGAGATAGGGAAGGCAGAATAATACGCCAGTATCAGTAGGTACGCGCTAAATATTGTTTATTGAACTTTTGTTATACATGTCATCGGAAAGACATTTATTACCACTGCTGAATTTAACCCAAGAAGAAGAAACAGACTCAGATTGTTCTTCTACTACATCTAATGATGAGATTGTATTTAATACGGGAGATGCCTATAGTATACTTGGTGAAACATTAATAATGATTGACATTACAACAAGAATGAGTATATCAAATGAAAGCAGCGATTTGGACGACTTTAATGACGATACACTCACAACAACCTGCATCAGTTACGGCTAGCACTCCAATCATAAGTCCATTTTGTTGATATGCAGAAACTTGATGATAATAATGATCGACAATCAGATAAAAATAAAACGAAACGTCGAGCGCGGAGTACTGACGAAAAATTAGCGGCTATTAAATATTACAAAGCGGTTAAAAGTTATAAACAAGTTGCAAAAGAACATGGATGCAGTCGAAAGATGATACGTACTTGGGCGAGTCAAGAACAAAATTTGTTGTCATTAAGAGGAGAAAAAACGGGAAAGAATTTGAAACGTTTAGAAGGCGCCGGAAAAAATTATGCCATGTTCAGTTAGATGCAAAATTATTTGAATGGTTCAAAACCACACGAACGCCACCCCAGGATGAACACCAAACAACGATAATTAAGAAAGAAAGAATTACTTTCAGACTGTTACTAGACAAGGTGCTAAAATTTGTATTGATTTAAATGCAGTCCAACCAGCGAATAAATAGTATCGTCGTTTTCTTCGTCGTCATCATCTTTCACTACAACGACCAAAAAGACATCAAAAAGTACCACTGTCAGAGGCTCATGAACGAATAAAATCATTTCATGTTTTTTTACGCAAAAGTAGTGAAAGAGTACTCAATTTAGGAGCTAAGGTTGAAATTCCTGAGAGAGAGATTTGTAATATGGATGAAAGCCCTCTTGCTTTATGGGGTGATCAAAGCCGAGCGAGTTTGAATTATGTTAATACGTCGAATGAAGTAGATAGTAATTTGAATTCGAAAAGATTCTGTACATTAATTTTGTGTGGCTTTGCTAGTGATAATTCGAGAGTAGGCCCTGCCCTTATTTTTAGAGGCAAAGGTCGTATATCGGATGGAGAACGTAGTGAGTATGAAAAAAGGGCTAAAGTTTATTTTAGTCCATCTGGAGTAATTAACGGTGCGCTGATGCAGACTTATGTACAATTTTGGTTGAGTAAAACACGAGATGGCCGACCAAAGATGTTTGTTACGGATTCGTGTAGCTCGCACATAAATGATACTGTGAAGGAGTTGTGTTAGGCATAATACCCGGAGGTTGTATAATGTACGTACAAGTGCTCGATATTTATGTCTTCTCAACGTTCAAAAATCATTATTATGATGCTGCCGAGGAATACATCGAAGCGAATGGTCCTAGAGCTTCGATAAAACTCACAGCAAGTCGCAACGAATCTTATGTACACGTCTAACAGCCACAGTGTGGCAAAGAACACTTAAAAGTGTTGATTTTTCAAAAGCGTTTCGTCGTCTAGGTTATACATGGGACAGCGATGACGTTTTAACGTTAAGTTATGTTCTTGGGTCCAGTTTTGATCCAAAATTAATTAATTTTGGAGATGATGACAATGATAAAAAGCGCGAAAGTAATGAAGGGACGTTGAAAACTCCAGGAAAAAACGATAATACTGCAACGAGTGTGGATGCAAGAAGTCATCTTATGTTACCCCACTCGCACACACTTATCTACACAACATTCATACCCACACCCTAGCCTTCATTTTTTCTGTTCTTACCAGAAAGAAAAAAATGTTGTTCTGAAAGAGTTGAAGAACATCAAGTAATGTATGAGATAAGATGTGTGATGCGATAATACTCAAGTCAATATACTCAAGCAAAACAAACGAAAATTGAAATAAATACTAGGATAATAAATTGTGCAGTTATATCTTTTTCTTCGCTGTTCTTTATCACACTTTGAATGCAAACTGTCAGGTAAAATTTGTCGACGAGTACAGAAAAACCAAATTAGACCTTGTAGAACACTCGAGAACAAAGACAGAATCAATCGTCTACATAAATAAAAATAATCCTTTTTGTCAAAACAGCTTGTCGTGTTCATGATTATTAACCAAGCGACATCTGTATTTAATACTAACGACCGAAAAAGCAAACCGAAAGCCTACATGTCAGTAATGACTGAGTCCTCACGCATACCATTGTCACCACAAACTCCCCAATCAAGACAACTTATGACTCCGAACTATTCACTTATCTGGGTTCAAAGTGGCTGGGATGAAACAGCGACGATTTGTCAAAATATACTCACGCAATTGCGCATTTTTGCCAATGAGATTACAATCTGTAAGGATCCAGCACATTGTATTCAGTGCCTGAATGATATGAATGACGGAAAAGCCTTTGTCATCTCCTCTGGAGATTTGGGCCAACATCTCGTGCCACAGATACATGACATGCAACAAGTCTATACCATTTACATTTTTTGTGGCAATAAAACAAAGCATAAACAATGGGCAAACGAGTGGGTAAAGATTAGAGGTGTTTTCACCTCAGTCATACCCATTTGTGAGTCCTTGAAAAAGATCACCAGTGAAGTCGATCATGACACAATACCGATAAGTTACCTCCCGAAGCAAACTATAGAAAAGGCAGCAGCAGCAGCTGATGAAGGAAAAAGATCCGATCAACTGCCACCATCTTACATGTATTCTTCAATATTCAAAGACATCATATTAGAAATCGATGAAAACGATGAGAGATTGCAAGATCTAATGGTTTATTGTCGTCGCAATATTCCTAAAAAGGAATTGAGAAATTCTGACTATCTGAATAAATTGGATTATTTTCAGAATGAATATCACAAGAGAACGACCGTCTGGTGGTATAGTGATAAGAACATGTTTGTGTACAGTATGCTCAATCGTGCTCTGCGTACACTCGATATGGAAGCCATGATAAAGGTGAGCTTTTTTATTCGTCATCTTCATCGAGAATTGGAACAACTGCATAAGGAACGGCCCGACGAATTTAAGGAGTCATTCACCGTGTATCGTGGCCAAGGGTTGTTGCCCGAAGACTTTGAACAACTTTGTAACACGAAAGGTGGACTTCTATCGTTCGATAATTTTTTATCAACAAGTACCAAGCGTGAAATAGCAGAGGAGTTCATCGAGTCCGCATTACCGAAATATAAAGACAATGTGGGTGTTCTCTTTGTCATGATAATTGATCCGAATGATGTCTCAACATCGACAACTGCTTTTGCTCCTATCAAAAAATACAGTGATTTTCAGGAAGAAGAAGAAATTCTCTTTTCAATGCATACCGTATTTCGTGTGGGTGACATTCAACAATCAACCAAGAATAGTCTCGTATGGGAAGTACAATTGATGCTAACCAGTGACAATGATTCACAGCTGGCTACTCTCACCAAATACATGAAAGAGAAGATTGATGGCAAAGGATGGTATCGAATGGGTAAATTTATGCTCAAAGTGGGTCATTTCGATCAAGCTGAAATACTCTACAATGAATTACTCAAGAAAGCTACGAATGACAGCGATAGAGCAGAAATCTATCAGCAACTTGGAGAGACAAAAATTCACAAAGGACAATACAAAGAAGCTATTTCATATTACAAGAAATCCCTAGAAATCAAGCGAGAAACTCTCAAGGAAGACAATACTTCATTGGCCCTTACCTACAATGATATCGGTCTCGTGTATAGCAACATGGGCGACTACTCGAAAACACTTGAATTTTACGAAAAATCACAGAAAATCTACGAAAAAGCTCTACCTCCGAATCATCCCGATTTGGCTACTTCCTACAACAACATCGCTGCAGTGTACTACAAAATGGATGACTACTCGAAAGCACTTGAATTTTACGAAAAATCACATAAAATCTTCGAAAAAGCTCTGCCTCCGAATCATCCCGATTTGGCTACTTCCTACAACAACATTGCTTCAGTGTATAACGACAAGGGTAACTACTCGAAAGCACTTGAGTTTTACGAAAAAGATCTTGAAATCACGAAAAAAGTTCTTCCTCCAAATCATCCCGATTTGGCTGTTTCTTACAACAACATTGGCTTATTATATGATGACATGGGTGACAACTCGACGGCGCTTGAATTTCATGAAACGGCGCTTGCTATTCGAAAAAAATCACTTCCACCAGAACATCCTGCAATTAAACGATCAATGGACAATATTGCCTCAGTGAAAAAAAAAATGTGATTTCATCCTGTTCCTTATTCTCTTTCGGTTTTGACTTCGTTTCCTCAGATAGACTCGCTTTTCAATTCATGTTCTCCCTGCTCAGCACATGTGAAATCCAAACGCAAACGAGATGTGGCTATACTACAAAAACATGAATGAAACGCGTTTAGTAGAGTTTCAGAGACGCACCTGGATGTGTTCGAATTGAGAATTGCGTCTCAACGCATCGAAACGTGTTTCGTAATTCTAAAAGTAAAAGAGCAGTTTAAAATGTTTAAAGCAAAAACCAGATTCAGTCGCCTTTTACAGGCGCATCTAGATGCTTTTAAATCGATAATTGCATCTAGACACATCTATAGGATGTGCCTGTGCGGATGGGCAACGGGTGTGGGCGTGCGGGATTCTCTTCGCCCACATCCACCCACACCCAGACACACACATCGGCTTTATGAATAAACCTAACTACTAATAGAATTTAATTTGAAATGCTAATAATTAAAATTAATAGGTTATAGACATTTAAATAACAAGCAGTATTTTATTTTAAACTTTACTTTATTCAATAATATATAAATCATTTAGAAGAATTAATCGTGCTCGATTTATTTCTTTGCTGAATTGTATTTTTTCGATAAAATCTACTAGATATCATCAGAAAACGTTTGAAACTGATGAATCAATTTTCAAATTCTACTAAGTGTATTACGTAGAGTTAATATACAAGTAACGCGCCGCGAGCGTCGCTAAACCCTCTACTGAAAGACTTAAACAGGTAGCGCGAATCCAACGGATTCGCTGAACTTTTCTGAAAGATGACACCGTGCTCTGCAAAATAAATTTGAGTGGAGATTTTGTAACACTTTCTGAATCTTCGATTCAGCTGGTCACTCAAGAAAGCATCTTATATTTCCTTCAAAGGAAAAGCCTCTCTTTCATCTGAAGTTACGACTTCAAGCACATCGCTCCTGTATAAAATGCTTCCGTATTTTTTTGCAAACACCCTACTTTACCGCACTACAAAATTCCTTGCCTAAGATACCAAACAAAATGCTATCAAAACCTTAAACAAGATTTGTCCCCTTTCCTTACAAGAGCGTTATTGTATATGTCGATCTTAGGTCTCGATGTATCAATTGACGGTGCTGTTGCCGAGAAATAAAGCCGAGAAGTATACAGTTGAAAATCTCTTTGCTAAAACCTTAATAGAAGAGAAACTATTGCTACAAATGTTGTTTACTTTACTCAAACAAAAAATTATCACATGTACAAATCTCGACGGTAGTAACATGAATAGTGATGAACTGATGGAAAAGGATCTCAAAAACGAACATACTTTACAACTAGCTTTGGACTATAAAAAGTATGCAAGTTACGCTTGTCTCTCCTTTTTCTTTGAACTGCTCTTTTACGTCTAAACTGCTCTAAATATTTTATATATATGCAGTATAGCGCTTAAAATTAATCTGAGATCGACATTGAAAGTGGAACAGAAAAGTAATGAAGATTTAAATCATAGTGTTGATAAAGACCGTAAAATGGTTATTGAAGCGTGTACCGAAGAATATGATTTCGTTGAGACTTATAAACGCCGTTTCATGTTTCATTACTCCTTTCTTTAGGCAGTTATTGTAAGAACAATGAAAACAAATAGGAAAATGAAGCATCAACAATTGCTAAACGAAGTTATTCAACAGTTATCGTCTAGATTTAAAACAAACCTTGTAGTCATCAAGGTGAGTCGAGTTCGAATTGTCAATCGGCTGTGAAGAATTCAGCTATGTCTTACGAGGAAGGTGCTGGAAGTGATAAATCGGTTTTTGGACTATGTTCATCATGTAGGGAATAGTCAGCAGTGGAAAACCCCAACTTGGTTTGGGTCCATGCGTCTTTTGGACGGAGATATGAGTTAATTAATGAAAATGCCATTAATAATAATTAATTAATAGCTCACGACAATGACCAGTAGGAGTCGGAAATTTTCACCACTGCTGAAGATAGATCTTGTCTACTCACTGCGACACTTTTAGGCTTATAAACGAAAGCTTTTGCAAGATATGAATATTTTATGATTTAGACAGTTTTTAGTGAAAGTTCATCATTGAAAACCTAAAAACTTGTTATCACCTTTTAGATGCCTCTATCGACTCAGTAAACACTTATTTCTTTTAGATATAAGTCCCTAATTTGGCACGTGCCATATCTAAAGCACATTCGAAAGTAGACATGGACAAAGTCATCTATTTACATTTGATATGATAGATCATATCGATGAGATTCAAGCCATTGCATTTGGAGACGAATGCACGAAATTTTATGCTACAATAGAAGTTGATGATGTAGGTTTTTACAAAGCAACTGAGTTTTCTAAAGTAATTCACTTATTAGATCTACTTTGTTCTAAATCTATACAGATAATTTATATATCAAATGGTTCAGTACAATATGCTAATCCTCGATATTAAATGTCATCAGATCAACTGCAGATTGTACTAGAAAGTGGTGCAATAATTGGAAAATACAAAGGAGATATAGATGAACTCCAAATAAAACATAAATTTATTAGTTTGACAGATTTAATCGAACATAAACCAAATGGCGTCATCGGTCAGCAGTTTCTGTTCCCTAACACATGATTCAACTTTCAGATGTACTATTATAGATGTATGAACAACCGTTATTCGTGATTTTGGCCCTAGAAATTTTTGGGCTAATCAAGCAATCGATAAATTATGGACATCAAGAGCATTACTTCTCCGTGAAGAAAAAGCTGAAGTCAAAATAACGATATGGGACATTTTGGTAACTATTTACAATTATCTAAATTTCAGCTTTTTTTTCTCTAAGAATTTTCTGTGTATTTAGGTGACATAAAACAAAACTAATTTGACTGGTGCACTGGTTTTTCTAAAAAATGTCAAAACTGATAATCACAACAGTATAAAATATCTTAATTGGATTTAGAAGCATTACTGTTTTTGGCTCTTACGTTAGGTTTTGGATTAAAAAGTTTATCAAATACGATAATGGAAGTAAAACAACAGTAAGCTCATTCTATTTTTTTCATGTATATGTTAACAACTAATTGAGGGCTCCTCAGAAATTATCTCCGACACCGTACATCCGATCTTGACGAAACTTTCCATAAATGTTTGGCTTAATGAGTTACGGGAATAAAAAAATTTTTTGTCTCCAGGTCTTACTATTCAGAAGTTTTCTAGAGATCAAGGTTCAAAAAGGACCCTGAAGTGTTTCCCAAGATATTTTAACATACTTCAAACTGGATAGTTCGGGTTTATTTTGTTTTAAGCTAGACACCTAACTACATGGTCTGACAGACGCCGATTTTTCAATTAAGCCTTTATTGTTTTTTCAGGCAACCATCTACCTCCAAAACCTGAAAACTCCTTCCGGTTTTCTAAAAATCCTTAATTTGATAAAAGACTAAGACCTAAGTCAAAAATCGGCGCCGGTTAGACGATGTAATTTCTTTTCCTCTTTTAAACAAAAGAAGAATAAACTCTCTATGAGAAACTGCTATAAAAATCTTGGGAAATACTTCAGGTGTAACTCTTATACAGAGAAACCGCTATATTAAACGCTGTATGGAATACTCAATTTTAGAACTTCTAGGAAAATGCTTGTAACTTTTTGATGCAAGGTCATAAAGAGTTGTGAGAGGTCTTGTTTTGATCAGAAACGTTTGCTCTACAAATCTGTGGGTTTAGAAAAATTCTAATTGCATAAGACTCCAGGAAAAAGCTATTATTCGAAGACCCGGTTTTCTCTTAACCTAACAAAATATCTTTCTATATCTGTGTTTTGTTCGCATTTTTTTTCTGTAAGAGCAGAATAGATCGAATCGAATACCAGAATAGTATTAGTTGTTGTCTCAAATCATATTATGCGTAACTGGAACCTGCTACATAAAGTTTTATTATTCAATCACTCATTTTAATTTTTTCTTTTAAACTCTTACACCTGTTTATTCTATCGTTATTGATTTAACAGTAGAGGTTGAGTAAAGCAAAGTCAATTTAATTCAACTAAGGCTTCATGACTGACTGTCTTGTCGTTCGATTTAAATTGAATGAAATTACCACGAAAATCGTGAAAAGTTGAAAGCAGTAAAGAGAAGTTTAAGATGAGAGAAAACTTTCCGTAAGTTCGAGAAAATTACTAAAACGCGAAGGATAACTGATCAAACGCGTTCACGACGCCTTCTAAAACTGGAGAAAACTATTAATTTATTTATTACATTTTTTAAAACTTGGGACTATTGTTCTTTTTCCTGCATTTTTTTTACTCGCTCACACTTCAAGTGAAATTATTGTCGATAGTGGCAGAGACGTACGCTTTTCACCAATTGAAAGCCAAGGTCTGACCGCATCTGTTCATCATGAAAGTCGTTTTGTAATTTTTTTTTTCCAAAGTCGATTTTTTACATAATAATTAGAAAACGAAATCATTATCCAAAAACATAAAACATAATTGTTTTCGTTTTTTTCCGTGAATATATAGTCAAAATATCTTCTTCAAAATGGGAGTCAAGCGAGGCCTTGGTTTTCATCGGCTCGATTGTGGTATCGTGTTTCACTGGTGTCCTACTGACATCCATTGACTCGAAGTAACCTTTAAACCACATGGAACACACTGAATCGACCACGATGAATCTGATGGTAATATTAGTTTTTGATGAAAACCTGGTGAAAACCGAATTTTACAAAAACTGAGGTTTTTCGGTTATTTGAGAGTAATATTAAAAAATTTACAATTCATTCAAAAAACATTAGAACGCACTTATAATGTAGCGTATTTAACCTATTCCATATCGCACTTACAAGAAAGAAAAAAGTTTACGAAATCCTGTGATTCTCCACAAGGATTTCTGAAAAACTTTTGAACAAGTATATGGTTTTTGATTTTTTTGATAATATAATCACGTTTAACGGACAAATTTAACCATGCACAGCCGTTTCAATAACAAAGGCGCAAGTCTCTATCACTTTCCTGTCAAACGT